TCTGGGGAATATCAGAGCCCTGGTCGCCCGCCGCCGACATGCTCTGCAGCGATGTGGCGGTCCGCAGTGCGATCCGCCTCGGTGGCAGCGCGCTCCCTCGTCCCGGCGCCCGGCGACTGGACCTGACAGCATCTCCTGCCGTCGGTGGAGCACGCTCGCCCCGCCCCCTTGGCGACGCGTGCTGCCGGCCGGGCCGCGGCCCAGTCCGCTACGCTCGACGGCGGGTCGGCGAGCGGCGTTGGTGCTCACTTCGGCGCACGCTCTGGAGGCGTGCCTGGAGGCGTGCTCGGCCGCGTGCCCGCTGCACTGCCTGTGGGCCCGAGGCGATGTGCGGCTGAGCTCCGAGCTGTCGCCGCCGCTGCGGCGCCGGGAGCGCCGCCGGTACCACCGCGTGGCTGCTCGTGGTGCCCCTGCGCTGCCTACTCGTGGTTCGGCAGGCAGGCGACACTGTCGCCGCTTGTGCGCCGCGGCTGCGGGCACCCGTCGCCGTCCCGTCTCTCCGGGAGGAGGGGGGCGGCGCGCGCTCACGTGTGCGGGCGCCAGACCACTCTCGAGGGCGACTGCGAGGCGGCCGCCCCAGCCGCCGCTCCGCTTTGCACGCGCGCTGCGCTGTGGTCGCCTCTCCAGCCTCGCTGACGAGGGCGTCGCGCTCAGCGCTCGGCAGGGCGCTTGCTAAGGAGCGAGAGCCTCCCAGCCCTTCGCTCACGCCTTGCAGCGCCTCTGCCGCTCTCACACGCCGCCGCCGCTACCGTCTCGCTCCGCGCGACGCGACGCTCGTCTTCGCCCGCCGCCAATATGTACGGCGACGTTGCGGTCTGCAGTGCGATCCGCCGCGCTGACGGCAGTGCGCCTCTCCTCGTCCCGGCGCCCGGCGAGTGGGCCTGGCAGTGCCCCTTACCGTCGGTGGGGCGCGCTCGCCTCCCCCCCTTGGCGACGTGCTGCCGGCCGGGCCGCGGCGCCGTCCGCTGCCGCGGCGGCGGCTCGGCGAGCGGTATTGGGTGCTCGTCTCGGCGCACGCTCTGGAGGCGATGCCCGGTCGCATGCCCGCTGCACTGCCTGTATGCCCGAGGCGGTTTGCGGCCGGGCTCAGAGCTGCCGCCGTCGCTGGTGCACCGGGCGCGGCGCTGCTACCGCGCCGTGGCGTGGCTGCTCGCGCTGCCTCTGCGCTGCCCACGCGCGGCTCGGCGGGCGGGCGGCCCCATCCCCGCTCGTGCACCAGCCGCGGGCGCCCGTCACCACCCCGCCTCTCTGGGGGGGGGCGGCGAGCGCTCGCGTGTGCGTGCGGCTGCGCCACTCTCGAGGGCGCCGGCGGGGCCGCCGCCACCGCCGCCGCTCTACTTGAGCGGGCACTGCGCCGCGGTCGCCTCCCCGGCCGCGCCGACGAGAGCGTCGCGCCCAAATGCTCGGTGAGGAACTTGCCCTGGGCGCAAGCCCCCCGCTGGCCCGGCGCTCCCGCTTTGCGGCGCCTTCGCACGCCGCCGCCGCTGCCGTCTCACTCCGCGCAGCGTGCCGCCGGGGCTAGCCCGCCGCCGACATGCTCTGCAGCGATGTGGCGGTCTGCAGTGCTATCCGCCTCGGTGGCAGCACGCTCCCCTCGTCCCGGCGCCCGGCGACTGGACCTGACAGCATCTCCTGCCGTCGGTGGGGCACCCTCGCCCCACCCTCTTGGCGACGCGTGCTGCCGGCCGGGCCGCGGCCCAGCCCGCTACGCTCGACGGCGGGTCGGCGAGCGGCGTTGATGCTCACTTCGGCGCACGCTCTGGAGGCGTGCTCGGCTGCACGCCCGCTGCACTGCCTGCGTGCCCGAGGCGATGTGCGGCTGAGCTCAGAGCTGTCGCCGTCGCTCACTCACTCACCGGGCGCAGCGGTGGGACATTGCGTCCATCGGGACATTGCGTCCATCGGGACATTGCGTCCATCGGGCCAGCTCGCCTTCGGGTCAGTTGGCCATCGGGACATTGCGTCCATCGGGACAGCTCGCCTTCGGGTCAGTTGGCCATCGGGACATTGCGTCCATCGGGACAGCTCGCCTTCGGGTCAGTTGGCCATCGGGACATTGCGTCCATCGGGACATTGCGTCCATCGGGACATTGCGTCCATCGGGCCAGCTCGCCTTCGGGCCAGCTGGCCATCGGGCCAGCTCGCCTTCGGGTCAGCTGGCCATCGGGCCAGCTCGCCTTTCCTCGTCCCGGCGCCCGGCGAGTGGGCCTGGCAGTACCCCTTACCGTCGGTGGGGCGCGCTCGCCTCCCCCCCTTGGCGACATGCTGCCGGCCGGGCCGCGGCGCCGTCCGCTGCCGCGGCGGCGGCTCGGCGAGCGGTATTGGGTGCTCGTCTCGGCGCACGCTCTGGAGGCGGTGCCCGGCCGCATGCCCGCTGCACTGCCTGTATGCCCGAGGCGATTTGCGGCCGGGCTCAAAGCTGCCGCCGCCGCTGGTGCGCCGGGCGCGGCGCTGCTACCGCACCATGTCGTGGCTGCTCGCGCTGCCCCTGCGCTGCCCACGCGCGGCTCGGCGGGCGGGCAACACCATCGCCGCTCGTGCACCAGCCGCGGGCGCCCGTCACCACCCCGCCTCTTTGAGGGGGGGGGCGGCGAGCGCTCGCGTGTGTGTGCGGCTGGGCCACTCTCGAGGGCGCCGGCGGGGCTGCCGCCACCGCCATCGACGGCGGCTCGACGAGCGGTGTTGGTGCTCGCTTCGGCGCGCGCTCTGAAGGCGTGTTCGACCGCGTGCCCGCTGCACTACCTGTATGCCCGAGGCGGATCGCAGTCCTGGCAGTCGCCGTCGCAGTTCTCGCAGTTCTGTCAGTCGCCGTCGCAGCCAAGCCATGCGGTCTGCTTGCGATTACCTTGGAGCAAATGGATGGACCACCCGCCCACCCTGTCAACATCATGTGGGAGGAACGTTGATACGTTGATGGCGCCAGCGCCTGCTGTTGACAAGTGGGGAGCAGACGGCTTCATCGCGAAGCTGCCCCCAGCAGGCGTCTTGACGGGTATCAAAATTCTTCCCTACGAAAGAGGCCAACGGACCCGAGAAGGTAATTTCTCGCAGCTGCGAGACAAGTTTTCTCGGAGCGACAGCCTCAAAGACAAAAGGGTGGATGGGTGGGGGGTGACCGCTGGTGAGCGCCAGCGGTGAGCGCCAGCGCGCCCCAGGAACGGTGGGGTGCCCTCGACCGCGCGTCCAAGTCACTTGGGCGGACGAGCGAGCGGCACATGGCCTGACAAAGAGAAATCGGAGTCTAGCGACGAGACCGAATCTGACCAGAGGCCGTCGTCTTCAGACGCCGTCCTCAGACGAAGGTGCCTTTCAGAGGTGTCCTTCAGGAGCGTAGCTGACGTCAGTCTGTGCGCGCTCTCTCGCCTCGTCGAACCCACCACCATCCCCTTTCTCCTCCTATCTGTCTTGTGTGTGCCTTGCTGGGGGGAGCAGACGGCTTCATCGCGAAGCTGCCCCCAGCAGGCGTCTTGACGGGTATCAAAATTCTTTCGCTGCCCCCAGCAGGCGTCTTGACGGGTATCAAAATTCTTCCCTACGAAAGAGGCCAACGGACCCGAGAAAAAAATGTGTGCGACTGCAACGACGGACCGCTCGCAAGAGACCATTGGGTTTGTACTATTAACAACGAAGGCGCTCTCAAAAAAAAAACTGCCCGACAAGGGCGGGGCTGTCCCGGAAAGTGAGAGACGCCGGGCAGCGTGGCGCACAACTGAACCCTCCCATACGTGTTTGGGGTTCCTCCTTTCTTTGCTGTCCCATCTCCTCATCTCTTTCCCGCCTGGGCGGGGCAGCGGGTGGGCGCGCGGTGCGGCGTGGCGTGTGCGTGTGTGCGACTGCAACGACGGACCGCTCGCAAGGGACCATTGTATGGGCCATGGAGTTACCGAGTACACCTGTAGGATGATCTTGCGGCGTGTTTCTGGCCTTGGATTCGTGATTAGCACCCTAAATAATGCCGGGGAGCGCCCTTACCCGGAGAATTCGGGAGGTCGAGAAATCGACCCCTTTGGCCGCTGGTACCCTTCAGCCGAGAGTCCCAGACCCCCTACCCGTCGGACTACGCCTGGACCCCTCACAGAGCAGCCCACGCACAGGTCACGCATCGGCAGATTTGACACCTGGTTCAGGCGTAGACAGCACACACTGGTCACAGTTGCATAGCCCTGCCGGGGGGGGACGAGTTCGCAAGGTTAATATTAAAGAATACAAAGTGGTGACAACCACTGAGTTCTCAGTGGACGACGAGCGTCGACTGAACAGAAGAGCGTCCCCACGACGCCTCGGTGCCACCCACCGGGTGAAGACCATCCGGATCTTTCCACCGCGCCCTCCGGGCTGAGCGGTCCCCGCGATGGCTCACAGTCCGCCGTCACCTGGTTGAACCCCCTCCCCCCCCAGTCCTCGTACTCGTCCATGTTTCTCCAGTCCGCATATCACTCCGCCCCATCCTCCATCCGCCCACCTCCTCTGATCCCGTCTGGATACTTCCTCATTCTCTTCATCTCGTCCTTCCTCGCTCTGAATCCTCGTCCGGCACTTCCTCGCTCCTCCACCCCAGTCCGTCTCTCCACGCTTGGCCCTGCCCTCCTAGCTTGCTGCAAACTCTCGCTTCGAGAATCCACCGTCGTCCACCCCATGAACCTGTCGATCTCCTCGTCGCCCACGCCCTCGTTCCCCATGTACTCCAGCATCTCTCTCTCTCTCTCTCTCTCTCTCTCTCTCTCTCTCTCTCTCTCTCTCTCTCTCTCTCTCTCTCGCTTGGAGTACTTGGAGTGCGGCGCTGGCCGCTAAAAATTCTTCCGCCGGGTTTTTTATAATACCCAAAAGCTAGGCTACACAACGCCCTCTATGTTGGGTCAAGGCGGGCGCCTAGAAGAAAGCGCCGCCCCCCGAGGGGGAATCCCACCCGTACCCCGAGCCCCCGTCGAAGAGCGCGTCGAAAGCGTCGTCGCCTTCGTCGTACTCCTCCGCGTCAAAGCACCGGACCGGCTCCCCCCGGCCGTGCTCCCTTGCCCAGCGCATCTGCCGAACATGCGCACGCTGCTCCTCGCGCGCCATCTCCTCCGCGGCGCGCGGCGTCCACCCGGTGGACGCCAACAGCGACTCGAGCGTCGCGCGATAAATCGCCTCGCCTTCCTCGCGTGATACCACCTCGCCCGCCTCCTTCGCCACCGCCGGGTTTGGAGGGCTGTGATGGCAACCACTTCGAGCGGCCGCCGAGCCGAAGAGGATACCACGGCCGAAGAGAGAGCCCGATTCGCACGCGCGGTCTTGAGCTCAAAGGGCCGCGCCGCTCTGCACGGCACAGCCGTCCGGAAGCTTGGCGAAGAGATGCACGACGAGTACCGGTGCGGCGACGGGGTGGCGATACAGGTCGTGCGCTGCAGACCCACCGCCGCTGGCGCCTAGCTCGTTGCCGAGCGCTTGCATTCTTCCTAGGCGCTCATTGCGCATGCGGGCGAGTACGACTTGGAGACGCTGCGACTCGGATGTGGCCCCGAAGGCAAGGGCACGCACGGGGACGTGACCTTTTTCGAGAAGGGTGAGCTCGCGCGGCGGCTGACGAAGCAGGCTGCAAAGAAGAGTGAGACGCGCCGCAACCACCCGCTGCCACCCGCGCGCGCCTCAGCCACGGCTACCACCGCTACCGCGACCGCCGCGCGCGCTCCAGCGCTCAAGCCGTCTTGCACGGCGACGGGTGCTAGCCAAGCGACGCGCCCAAAGCCCCCCCCCCGCGGAGGGGCTCGCGGAGGCGGGGGCGGAGCTGCGTCGGCGGCGCAGGCGCAGGCGCGTGGCAGCGTGGCGCCGACTCCCCGGCCTCCGGCGACGGCAGCCGCTTCCTTCGCCCCACCACAGCCCGTTGCGCCTCACGCGGCGCCCACAGAGCCACCGGCGGCGCCCACGGAGCCACCGGCGGCGGCTGGCCACTGTGAGGACCTGCTGGCTCTGGGGATGGCCGTGGCGGAGGAGGAGGCGGCGGCGGCACCTTCAGCGGCCGCAAGCGCGGCAGCCGGCGAGAGCGCGGCTTCCTGTGCTGCCGCTGCCACTGCCGCTGCCTCTGACTCTACCGCTGCCTCTGTCGGCCTTGCTCCCGCGCCGCTCGCGCCGCTCGACAGCAACGCCGGACACCAGCCTGGCACGCGCGCCAAGCTGCCTGGCGGCGCCGGCGGCAGGCAGCGCGCAGGAGCGCCCCCCCCGGCGCGTCGAAACCCGGCTCAAGCGCCCGCTGCACCTGCTGCCGGCGCTGCGGCTGCGCCCGGGCGCGCGCGTGCCGTCGCTGCGCCAGACGCGGCGAAGCGGTTCGGGCAGCTGATTCGCGCCAAGAAAGCGGCGCACGCCGCCGAGACCGTGGCGCGGCGGCGTTCGATGGACGCGGCCGAGCAGGAAGTGGATGTGCAGCTGGAGCGGATCGCTCGGCACCGGAACCAGCTCGAGGCGGCGCAGGCGAAGGCAAGGCGCCTGCAGGCCGGCATCCAGGCCAAGGCCGCCGCGCTCGCGCAGCAGTCGCGCAAGTACCACCGCGAGATGAGCCAGCTGCAGCAGCAGCAGTACCAGGAGGAGCAGCTCGGATCGATGCGGCGGCAAATCATCGAGCTGGAGGAGCAGCTCTCTGCGGCGGCGGCGGCGGAGGCGGCGCGCGAGATGGCTGCGCGCGAGCATGCAAACGCGCTGGCGGCGGCGCAGCATGCGGCGGAGAAGGTGCGCGTCGAGCTGCAGGAGTCGCAGGCGGAGTCACAGGCGGCTCTGGCGGAGGCTCTGGCGCGCGAGGCGGCGGCGCGCGAGGAGGTGGCAGCAGCACGGCGGCAGGCGGAGGCGGCGACGGCAGAGGCGGAGGCGGTGCGGCGGGAGGCGGAGGCGGTGCGGCGGGAGGCGGAGGCGGTGCGGCAGGAGCTCCCCTTGCAGGCCGCCGCCGCGGTCTCGATGTTGCGCACGGAGCTCGAGTCGGAGGAGGCGCGGCGCGTCGTGCCGGACATCCGCCAGCACCCGGCGGCCAAGCTAGCGGTCGAGGTGCTGGCTCACCCCTTCAAGCCGGTCGACGCCATTGCGGTCACCCTCTCCGAGGGCGGCACGCTCTTTGTGGCCGAGATCATCGGCACCGGGGCCTTTGGCTGCGTGCAGCAGGGCGTCTTCTACCCCGACGGCTCGCCGAGGGCGCAGTTCATGTCCTTGCTGTCGCTCGTGCTGGCCAACGAGCACGCGCGGCACGCGCGCGACTTCAACTCGGCCGAGGCGCGCGACGAGGAGGCGATCTTCGCCGCGCTCGGCGCGCTCGCCACGCAGGGGGCGGCCGGGGGCGGCTTCGAGTTCGGCACGCCCGTCGCCATCAAGCAGCTCAACTCTCAGGCAGCGCCTGTCTCCCTCAGCATAACCCAAACAGACACCTAGCGTCATCTCACAGACGATGGTGCTGCTCTAGGCGGAGTTTCGCGACGAGAAGGCCATCATCCTTGACCTCATCCTGGCGCGCGAGCGCGAGTTCGCCGGCGACACGACCGGAGCCGACCTGATCATCCGCGCCATCGCTTTCGACTCGCCGACCAACTCGATCATCTACCCGCTCGCCGTGATCGACCTCGAGAAGGCGCGCACCTTCGGCGGCAGCTCACCTCGGGCTACTCCCTCACTTATGATCAACAAATGATAGGCGCTCGCCGACCCCGACGGCTACTCCGTGCCGATGAACAACGCCGTGGTGCGTTTCGTCGGCCACCAGATCGCCGTCGCCGTCGCGTACCTGCACCGCATCGGCGTCGTCCACCGCGACCTCAAGCCGCCCAACATCCTGCTCACGGTCGGCCGCGAGGAGGTCGACGCGCTCGCCGAGCGGGCATGGCGCGGCGAGCCCGTCCCGCGCGACGTTGTGCTCGTCGCCGACCTCGGCCTGTGCGCTGCCGAGGTCGACATGTCGGCCATTTCGCCCGGCGACGACATCATGCCCGACTGCGACGGCACGGTTCCGTATATGCCACCCGAGGCGGAGGGCAGAGACGACTCCGATCTGCTCCGGCCAAGTTCGTCACTCTGCTGCCATCCTGATAGGTGGTTGATTCGGACCAGTCCTACTACACCGAGCCCAAGCGCGACCTCTGGGCCTTGGGCATGATCATCTGCGACATGTTCGGCAAATCGAGCAACACGATCGTGGCGGGCATGGACGACCAGGAGGCCGCCAATGTCATCGTTGCGTGGCTTCCGGCCGGCCCCGAGCCCGGCGAGCTGGACAGCTTCGAGGCCGGCGAGATGAACAGCTTCGAGCGGGACCTGCGCGCGCCCAAGGCCGAGGACTTTCCGGACGCTGGCGACCTCGCGCACGTCGCGGCCACCCTCGGCGTGGCCTTCAAGCTCACCAAGTCGCGGCCTTGCAGCCGGCTCAGCGCTTCTGGCGCGGCGGACAAGCTGCTGTGAACAGGTACCTGACCCGCGCGCCTTGTCCTCCTGCGTCCTGCCGTGAACAGCGCCTCTTCACACAAGCGGGTGTGTGCGCAGGTCGCTTCGCCCGCGGCGGCGCTGCCGCCCCGCGCTGATGCAGTCCGTGGCCAGTGAGCGTATCGCCGCCGCCGACGCGGCGGAGAGCTCGCGACGGTGCCATACTCGGCGCATGAGCGGCGAGGGTGCCACGACGCAGGGACGGGAGTCCTAGTTCTCTGTCTCACGTCGACGATCGCACACGAGCGGCGAGTGGCGAGGAGCCGCGTACTGTGGAGGAGGATTGCTGTGGGAGAGGAGGGGAGTACGAGCCAAGCTGGCGAGATCGAGAGAATTACTGTTGGAGACAAGGAGTGAGTCCCGGTTTCGTGTATTGCGGCGGGGTCTCGTCTGTGTTCTCTCGTCTACACACGCTCTGAGTACCGTACGGGTAGCGCAAATACGTAAAGGTATGCATTTCTTTCGTAACGAGCTGCTATATGCCCCCCACATACCAAGCAAATCAGACTTACATGATATATTATATATACAGCCTGGCACGCGCCGCGCGCCGACGACAGCACACAGGCTGACAGCCGAGACAGCCCTGATTGATGTCTCTGTGCGTGACAATACCCCCGGATCCCCGGCAATGAATGAGTGTACTGCACCAATCAAGCTCTCATAGACTAGGCGCGCAGCGCGAGAGAGTTAGTCATTACTCGATAGGAGATTCTCTTCTCAACACCAAGGTACTGAAGGACGCCGCATCAGCGCCGCATTTTCTTCTTAAGATCAAGGGTCGTGATATGACCGGAAGCACCTGCGGGGGACCCACGCGTGTGACGATGCGCGGCTGTGATGAAAACGTTTCAGCCTACCCGTTGTCGCAGATCGCAGAGCGGGGCCCACGCAGGCAATTGACGCAGCTATGGCCGCAGAGGAGACCCTGCAGGCCACCGTCGATGCGCTAAAGGCGCAGGTTGAGAAGAACGAAGTGAGTGCGCTCGCCAGCTGTGCCGTGCTGCACCACGCTCCGCCGTCACACCGCCTCGCTGCCACCCCTGCTCCCGCCGCAGAAAGCAATGGACACCTTCTATCTCCTGTTTGCCGCCTCTCTGGTCTTCCTTATGCAGGCCGGGTTTGCTCTGCTCGCCGCTGGATCGATCCGAATGAAGTCGGTGAAGAACATCCTCCTCAAGTCGGTCATGGACGCGTGCGCAGGTGGAATCATATGGTGCGCGGCACGCGGTGGTGGGTGTCCCATGCGCGTGCTCCTCAGGCCCGCGCCGTGGTCCCCCACCCTTCCCAAGGTACCTCTTTGGCTTCGGCGTCGCGTTCCACCAGGGCGAAGGAGGGAACGGCTTCATCGGCACGAGCGGCTTCAACTACGCCCTTTCCGGAGTCGATGACACTAGCGGCGCCAGCTACGGGGCCGAGTGGGCCTTCTTCTTCTTTCAATACGCATTTGCTGCAGCAGCAGCGACGATCACCTCTGGCGCGGTGGCAGAACGATGCACCCTCACCGGCTACCTCGCGTACGTCATGCTCATTGTGGGCCTGCTCTACCCCGTCGTGGTCCACTGGTGCGCGCCGCGCCGCCCGCTGCCTCGCGAGGCCCTTCCATTCTATTGCGCCCCCGCTTCCCTCACCGAGCGCACCGCCCGTGACAGGGTGTGGGACCCAAACGGCTTCCTATCGGCCTTCAACCCGGAGCCGCCCGGCCCATTCAAGAAGCTGCCCGGCATGATCGACTTTGCGGGCTCTGGCGTGGTGCACCTGACGGGCGGCGTCTGCGCCTTTATGGGCGCCCTGACCATCCGCCCTCGGCTCGGCCGCTTCGTGGGCGATGAAAGTGACCGTCGCCGCCGCCCCGCGCACCGACCAGCCTCCACTTCCCCCCGGTCGCGCAATGACCCTGAGCACACAACCACCATCACCCTCAATCTCAGCCCCACTCCTACCCCCACTCCTACCACGTGCGCTCACCTGGCGCAGCGCTCTTTGCGGGCCAGTCGTCCTCGCTGCAAGTGCTTGGCACCTTCCTCCTCTGGTTCGGCTGGTACGGATTCAACCCCGGCTCCACCCTCGCAATCACGCCCGCCGGCTATGCGCGGGACGCAGCCCGCGCTGCTGTCACCACCACACTCGCCGCTGCCTCGGCGCGTTTGCGCTTGGCCTCGCATACCTTTAGGAGCGGGCAGCCGCCTTCGAGAAGTTACTTGGACGTCCGTAGGGCGCCACGACTGGGCTGCTCCTCAAGCGAGGCCTCCCGAGCCAGCTTGGAGGGGTCCCAATGTGGGACCTCGCCGCGACCTGCAATTCACTACTCGGCGGGCTCGTGAGTATCACGGCCGGCTGCTCGACAGTCGACGTCTGGGCGTCAATCGTCATCGGTTTGGTTGGCGCAATCGTGTACCACGGTGTTCTGCCCTCACAACTCCTGCCCTCTATCCGCGCGCGTGAACGCTCGACAATGTGCCCGCGCAGTCGCCTCGTGCACCATGCGCAAGCTCAAGATCGACGACCCGCTCGACGCCTTTGCCGTCCACGGAGCTTGCGGCTTGTGGGGTCGCGCGAGCTCGACTTCTCAGCGCACTCCCCGGGATGGCAACGGGCCTCAGCCTTTCGCTCGGCACATAGGCTGTATCGCGGTTGGACTCTTTTGCACGGAGGAGTACTCGTACTCGCCGCACGCCGACTCGACCCTGTACGCGAAGCGCGGGAAAGTCGATTGTGGCATCTTCTATGGCGGGAGCGGCCTCCTGCTCGCAACTCAGATCGTCGGTCAGCACGCCTCCGCCCCAGCCCCTCCCGCAGCCCGCATCTCGACTCGCCCCTGCGCAGCACATGTTTTCGTTCTAGCGATCGCTCGCACGCAGCAGCCAGCGCCTCTCTATGGGCCGCGGGGGAGGCATGGTCGACGTGCTTGCGCCTTCACCGTCTGCCATGCTGCAGGTCCGATCTTCATCATCCTCTGGGCGGGCGGACTGAGCCTCGCCCTATTCGGAAGCCTCAGGGCGCTGGGCTTGCTCCGCATCTCGGTCGAGGTCGAGCAAAAAGGTATGCAGCTGGGGTGGCAGCCCTAGGTGGGACGCGGTAGTCGTGCCCGCTTGGGCGCTCCTTGGACACCTGTGCCGGCCCTCGGCCTCACGAGCAAGCCACCCATTCGCAGGGCTCGACTCGAGCAAGCACGGAGGCAGCGCCTACCCCAACGTCGACGCCGCTCTGAAGTCCCTCGAGGAGTGGTCCTCCTCTGCACCCCCCAGCCCCGAGCGGTTCGGGAAGGTCGGTTCCAAGGTGTAGATGCCGCGCGCCACAGGCGAAACGCTCTCGTGTTTGAGTAGAGGTGCTGTGGAGCCCGGAACACAGCCGGCGCGCCATTGCGCGTGTCCTTAGGGGCCCGCGGGGGATGTGAAGTCGAGCTCAGCGCGAGCGCGAGGAAGTTTTAGTGCGGACGCCTCTTTCTTTGCGTCGCGTCGCATGCGCATGTCGACACTGAGAGGAGCGCATGTATTGCATGTGCCGGCATGAATGATGGTGTGACCGATCTGTGTCTGATCTAGTGTCTGGAGATGTGCTGTCGAGCGGCACGCAGGTCAAGCCCAGAGTGGCGCTGCGGCCGACGTACATTCCCGTATAGGATTTTAAGGAAAGGAGTTATTTGTGACCGATGTGCGGAATCCGACGCCGTGAATCCTATTGCGGCGGCGCCACGCTAGCCGAGCTTCGCCGTTTACCCGGAAATGAAGACGGATCTCGACACTCGGGACCCGATGTCGCTCGCCATCGACCGCGCCGAGCGCGACGCCGCCAGCGCCGCGCAGCTGAGCAAGCGCGCGAGAGCGCTCGCCGGCCGCATCCGCACGTCTCAGACTCACGACCGGCTGCCGTCTGCGCCACCGCCGCAGCAGCAGGGCTTCACGATCGGCGCTGCGCTCTCGCTCGACTCGTGGACCCTCGCCCAATCCTCTGCGCCGGGGCTGCGGGTCGCCACCTCGCCATCGTCGCTGCTGCTCGCCGAGTCGCGAGGATTCCTCGTGCTCGAGCCGGCGGCAGAGGCGCGGGCGGCGGCGCTGGGCGACTACGTGCTGCACCCGGCGGGCGAGGCCACTTCGCCGCGCGGCCAGGGCGGCATCTCGCTCCTGACGGCCGGCATCCACAAGGCACGCGCCACCCTCGGGTCGCCGGGACACATCCGCGACACGTCCGCGACACGTCCGAGACACGTCCCACAAGGTGCGCGGCAACCTCGGGCCCGGCGCGCTCGCGCTGCCGGCCGCGTTTGCAAAGGTCGGCCCGGTGGTGGGGCTGGCCGGACTGGCGGTGGTCTGTTTGCCCGGCATCTACGGCGTCATCACCCTGCGGGCCAGGCCCATCCATGAAAGCTAACCCTCGCTCACCATGAGGGATGCCACGAACAGGCTTCCTCACTGCGGGCCAGGCCCATCCATGAAAGCTAACCCTCGCTCACCATGAAGGATGCCACGATCAGGCTTCATCACGCTCGTGCGCCTCAAGCGTCAGCTCAACGCGGCGGGCGCCGGCGTCAAGACGTTCGAGGACCTCGCCTTTCGCTCGTTTGGCCTCCTTGGTGTGCATGTAGGCAGAGAGGCGGACACAACAGTCTTGCCCAGCCACTCGACACCCGCGCGACTGAGGCGGTTGTGGTCACACTGGACGGGTACGGGTGGGACACAAGCGAGACGGAGAGACGGTCGCACTGGAGGAGACAGACACAGACGCACCGACGCCACACTCTTTGGCGCCGCCGCACCGCTCGGCCCTCTTCACGCCGCCGAGCTGTGAGCGCTTCACGCCGCCGAGCTGTGAGCAGGCCGCCGTGTGCTCGAGTCGACCGTCGTGCTGCTGCAGCTCGGGGTGGTGACGGTGTACATGGGGGCGCGCTCCTCCTCCGCAGCCACTGACCCTGACCTCACACCCACCCTAGCCCTAACCCTGGCCCTAACCCTAACCCTAACCCTAACCCTAACCCCACAGGTGCTCTCCTCCGCGGCGTGCGCCATCGACGCGGCGCCGGTCGCGGGCTGACCGCCGCACCCCGGCCTTCCCTTTGTTGACGTGCGGCTTGACTGTGGCACACATAGGCACCCTGCGACGACGGCGCCCCGCTGCCCCGCACCGTCGCTTGCGTCGCGGCGGTCGTGCTTCCCGTCTCGATGGCGCGCGAAGAGACTTAGCCGAGATGCCGCCGAGATGCAGCCGAGATGCAGCCGAGATGTGGTCGAGGCCAGCCGAGATGCAGCTTCCCACGACACGCCACGACACGCCCACGACGCTGTCCGTGTCACACCGTTCGTCCGCCCCGCGTCCCTCCCTCCCTCCTGCTCTCGCACAGGTGCTGGTGCCGTTGAGGCGCCGTTCACACCTCTCACTCCGCTGCCGACTCCGCCTCAGGTACGCGAGATCGCCTCGCTGATGCCTCTCTCCTTGCCGGGCAACGTCGCCATCCTCGCCGCCGTCGTCGGCGCCTCCAGCCGCGCTCGCCCCGCTCCTCCTCTGATGAGTGCCTCACCCTCTCCTCAACTCCTTGTGAGGCTCCGTCGGCTGCGCGGTGTCGCTCCTCTTCGCAGCGGCGGACGGCGGCGCCGCCGCGAACGGCACCGCGACAACGCTCAGCGGCGGCGGGGAGGGCGGCGGGGAGGGCGGGGCTGAGGGCGGCGGTGCGGGTGGCGGTGCGGGCGGCGGCGGCGTGGGCGATTGGCCGTGGCCCGAGGATGGCATGCAGGTGTGCGCCCCGCCCTCGGCTGTAGCTCGGCTACCTCTCGGCGCGGCTACGCCGCGGCTACACCTCGGCTGCACCTCGGCTGTCTCGCGGGGTGCCGGTGGCGCTCTTCTGTGAACGGCGCCTCTCCACACCTCCAGCTGTGAGCAGGTGGCGCTCTTCCTCGGCTCCGTCTTTTACGCCTTCGAGGGCACCGCCGCTCGTGCCGCCCCCCACCGGCGGACGAGCCCCCTCCCCTTCGAACCCCCGCGAGCGTTCCCGTTGGTAGGGATCGCTTTGGTGTTGCCCATCGAGAACGCGCTCTCCGCGTCGGCCGCGAGCGGCAGGCGCTGCTTCCGCTACGAGGAGCTCATCGTCGTGGCAATGCTCTTCGTCGTCTTCCTCTTTGCTTGTGTCGGCGCGCTCTGCAGCCGAGATATGCAGCCGAGGCCCAGCCGAGGCCCAGCCGAGACACCAGCGGGTCGCCCCTCTGCAGCCTCGTCTCGCCGCCTGACCGCCGCGCCGGCTGAGACCCCTCCCCCCGTTCGCTCCCCCAGGCGCCCTCTGTGGCCTTGCCTTCCCAGACACCGGGGGCTCCATCGTCGCCTACCTGGCGCTGCTGTACCCCTCCTCTTCCGCCATGCAGCTGCTCAACGCCGCCGTCGCCGCCGCCGTCCTGTGCACCTACCCGCTGCAGCTCGCGCCCGCGATGCCGACGCTCGAGGCCGAGATTGTAGCCGAGAGGCGGCCGAGGTGCGGCCGAGGGGCAGCCGAGGGGCAGCCGAGGGGCAGCCGAGGGGCAGCCGAGGTCTGCCCAGAGAAGGGAGCTGCGCGAGAGGCCGGTGAAGCGGCGGTTCTTCCCCCCTGCTGCAGGCGGCATGCTGCGCCTCCTCCTCCTTCGCCGCCTCCGCCGCCGTCCGCTCCGCCATCGTGCTCGGCGGCGCCCTCGTGACGGTACCGCCCCCCCAGCCGGCCCTGAACACCACACTCGCGCCCGCACGCAGCCTCACCGGCCGCAGCAGCACCTCCGCACTGGTCGCCCGCCGCTCTCCTCTCCGCGCCCCTGCCTCTCACTCCGCCCGCCAAGCCCTCCTCCCGCCAAGCCCTCCTCTCCCACCCTCTCCCGCCCGCGCGCAGGTCGTCCTCCCCGACGTCGGGCTGCTCGTCGCCCTGGTCGGCGCCTTCACCACCACCACGATCGCCGCCTTCCCCTTCCTGATGCAGCTGCGGCTCGCGGCGGCAGGCGCCGTGCCGCCGCTCGGTTTCGGCCGCACACTCATGGCGGTGTGGATGGTCGCCTTCAGCGGGATGGTGATGGTGCTGGGCACCTACACCGCCCTCGGCGCTGTCTTTGGCCGTGGCGAGCCCTTGGAGTGAGGGCGTCCGAGGCGAGGACGCCCACACGGGCCGCCGCGACCGCCGCGTCGCCGTGACCGCAACTCGCGCGGACTGCAATTTGTGTGTTTCCTGTCCGATCGCGACTCGACATGCACATGCACATGCACATGTACTCTCTTATTTACCGCATACGTATCCTGCCCGGAAAGAATCAAACGCTTATAACACCAAGAGCCTCTCCTCTGACACTCTATGATGTAACTTATTCGGACCCCCTTCGCGGTTCTCGTTTTTCGTGCCAAACCAGCGCGATCTCGGCGGGGCGTCAGCGCCTCTCGGAGGGGCATCATGCGCTCCCGGGGCCGCCCGACGGCGCGGGCCTCTTGCCGATGGACCCAGCCGAGGTGCCCGACCAGTCGCAGCCGCGCTGACGCGCCGCGCGCGACCACCAGCCAGCTTTTCAGCGCGGCCGAGAACGGTGTGTCGAGAGAGTCGACAGTCAAAGTAGCAGCCGCTTTTTTTCCCTCTTTTTGAGCGCTGCTGCTGCACACCCAGCCCACCAGTGATACTAGACGCACCAGATTCACCCCGTCGCGAGCTTGACCGCGACCCCGATGACCGCCCACAGGCAAGTTTGCTGCACTGTGAAGGCCACAAATTTGGTTTCGGCGGCACCCTCGACCAAACCTTGCTCAAGGTTCTTGGGTGCAAAGAGCGCGGCCACAAGTCACAGGGCCCGCTCGTCCATGCGACCGGCAAAGGCTGGGTCAAAGAGCACAAGGGACAGTACTAAAGAAAGATTAATTACTAACTACGACGCGCTCCATGTCAAGAACGGAATCGTCAAATTTGTCTCGTCGAAAGCCAGGGCGGCATCGCGCCGCCAACCAAGAGAATCATCTTCAAAGCCCGAGTGCCGTCGACCGCACCGACTACGGCACAGCCTCCGGCAGCGCCGGGGCTTCGCCCAGCACCACTCGCAACAGCTCTCTCGCGCCGCCGTCTGTGGCGATGTGCGCAAAACATCAACAACGCTGCTCGCAACATGCGTGTCGCGCACTCATTCATGACCGACCTCAATGTCCTCCCCCCTGCGCGCGGGCCTTCTAGGCCCGCGGGTAGTCTCCCCCATCCCCAGGGCCTCCAGGGCTCGCACCTCAACCTCTCACAGACCAGCGCACAGCGCCATAGGACGTATTTCCTTCTCAATAACAAGGCTGTGAACATATCAGCCCTCGGCGCCACCCCGACGCACCTCACCCTACATCGGTTATTCTTGTTCTACTTTGAAGGCAGAGCTCGCTGGTGATGCTTTTCGCTGCATAGAGAGAGAGCTCTCTTCTCTGCATAGTTGGGACGCGGTGAATAACAGCCAGGCGGACTGGACACGGCCGGCGCCGTATGGCTCAGCCTATGGGTGGATGGATGCGGGACAGGAGATGGCGGCATGCTATCCGCTGGAGCGACACACAGACACACAAACTCACAAGACACTCAGTCAGCTGGGCATCTATTTCGAAAAATGTATCCTCAAGGCAAATCTGCCCGCGCTAGGTCTCGGGGGACGAAGGGGTCACACCCGACGACCTCGGGAACTAGCCGGGGCAGTCGGAGAAGGGGCAACTCCGTGCACTGACGGTCGGCCGTCAGAAAACACGCCTCCGTGGCTCGGGTTACACCAATCCTCGCTACCCAACGCGGCCAAAGGATATCCACCTCGAGAACCTCGAGAAATCTGCCGTGAATAGCAAGCAGCGGCGTCTGCTCTCACCACAGGCATGGAAGAACGCGACGCACAGCGGCTCAGCGGGCTCATCTCGCACGACAGCGGCTGGAGCCCCGACGAGCTGCTCAGGCTCTTTGCTGCCCACAGCACGAGCATCAACCACAGGCACGCTGCGAACCTGTGGAACAAACTGGGCAAGAAGCGCGTTGAGCGGCGGCACGAGGAGCAGCTGGAGCGGCTGGTGCAGCGAACGCTCGAACTCCTCCCTTTTTGCGATGCACGCAACCTCGCAAACATCGCTCACGGCGCGGCCAAGTGCCGGCTGCCAGCGAGTGTGGTGAGCTCGCTGTTCGCGGCGATTGCGGAGGCGGCGGTGCGGAAAGGGTTTGCTGGCTTCAAGCCGCAGGAGCTGGCCAACACGGTGTGGGCGTACGCGAAGGCGGGCGTGGCTGCGGACGCGCTTTACTCGGCGGCGGCGGCAGAGGCGGCGGCGCGCGGGCTGGCCGGCTTTACGCCTCAGAACCTGTCCAACACGGTGTGGGCGTACGCGAGGGCGGGCGTGACTGCGGACAAGCTCTTCGCGGCGGTTGAGGAGGCGGCGGTGCGCAGCGAGCTGGCGGGTTTCGATCCCCAGGCGCTGTCCACCACGGTGTGGGCGTACGCGACGGCTGGCGTGGCTGCAGAGACGCTGTATGCGGCGGTGGCGGAGGCGGCGGTGCGCGGCGGGCTGGCCGGCTTCAACCCTCAGGCGCTGTCCATCACTGTGTGGGCGTACGCGACGGCTGGCGTGACTGCGGACAAGCTCTTCGCGGCGGTGGCGGAGGCTGCGGTGCGCGGCGGGCTGGCCGGCTTCAACCCTCAGAACCTGTCCAACACGGTGTGGGCGTACGCGACGGCTGGCGTGGCTGCAGAGGCGTTGTATGCGGCGGTGGCAGAGGCGGCGGTGCGCGGCGGGCTGGCTGGCTTCAACCCTCAGAACTTGGCCATGACGGTGGGGGCGTACGCCAAGGCTGGCGTGGCTGCGGACGCGCTGTTCGCGGCGGTGGCGGAGACGGCGGTGCGCAGCAGGCTGGCCGGCTTCAAGCCGCAGGACATATCCAACACGGTGGGGGCGTTTGCGAAGGCTGGCGTGGCTGCAGAGGCGCTGTATGCGGCGGTGGCGGAGGCGGCGGTGCGCGGCGGGCTGGCTGGCTTCAAGCCGCAGGAGCTGTCCATCACGGTGTGGGCGTACGCGACGGCGGGCGTGGCTGCAGAGGCGCTGTATGCGGCGGTGGCGGCGGCAGCAATTCGCGGCGGGCCGGCTGGCTTCAACCCGCAGGACATGTCCACCACAGTGTGGGCGTACGCGAAGGCGGGCGTGGCTGCGGACGCGCTGTTCGCGGCGGTGGCGGAGGCGGCGGTGCGCGGCGGGCTGGCCGGCTTCAACCCTCAGGCGCTGTCCATCACGGTGTGGGCGTACGCGACGGCGGGCGTGACTGCGGACAAGCTCTTCGCGGCGGTGGCGGAGGCTGCGGTGCGCGGCGGGCTGGCCGGCTTCAACCCTCAGAACCTGTCCAACACGGTGTGGGCGTACGCGACGGCTGGCGTGGCTGCAGAGGCGTTGTATGCGGCGGTGGCGGAGGCGGCGGTGCGCGGCGGGCTGGCCGGCTTCAACCCTCAGGACATGTCCAACACGGTGTGGGCGTACGCGACGGCTGGCGTGGCTGCAGAGACGCTGTATGCGGCGGTGGCGGAGGCGGCGGTGCGCGGCGGGCTGGCCGGCTTCAACCCTCAGGACATGTCCAACACGGTGTGGGCGTACGCGACGGCTGGCGTGGCTGCAGAGACGCTGTATGCGGCGGTGGCGGAGGCGGCGGTGCGCGGCGGGTTGGCCGGCTTCACCCCTCAGGACATGTCCAACACGGTGTGGGCGTACGCGACGGCGGGCGTGGCTGCTGACACGCTGTTCGCGGCGGTGGCGGAGGCGGCGGTGCGCGGCGGGCTGGCCGGCTTCAGCCCTCAGAACCTGGCCAACACGGTGTGGGCGTACGCGACGGCAGGCCATTATGACCAGGCATTGCTTGCCGAGTGCTCGCGCGTGATTGAGGTCTCGCTCGCGCGGGATCCGTCGATGTGGAGCGAAGAGGAACGCTCTCAGCTTCACCAATGGCAGCTCTGGCTCTCTCTGGAGCGAGGGGCAGACGCGCAGCAGCACCTCATGATCTCCGAGTCCCAGCGCAAGCTCTGCCGCGACGCCATGCAATGCACGCAAGCCATCATTTCGCGCTTTCAGCGCTCTGTTGCAGCTGCGCTCGCCGCCGTGTGGGGCCCGGGCTTTGAGGAGGAGTATCTCGAGCCGCGCACCGGCTACTCTCTCGACCTGGCACTGCCCTCCTCACGCGTCGCGATCGAGGTGGACGGCCCCTCGCACTTCCTGCTGCCCGACGGCCGGGGTGAGCGCAAGCCCAACGGGCCCACGCTGCTCAAGCGGCGCCTCCTCGCGGCGGCCGGCTGGCGGGTGATCAGCGTTCCATTCGACGAGTGGGACGGCTTGCGGTCGGCCAGCGCGCGGCAGGCCTACCTGGAGAGGGTGGTCGTCCTGCCGGAGATCGAAGAGAGCGAGGTGGCGGACGGCGCGGCGGGCGGTTCAGCCGTGGAGTCGGCCGCAGTCCGGGTGGGCACCGCGGCGGGGAATCAGGCGGCGAAGGCGGTGGAGGCGGCGGCACAGGCGGCGGCGAGGGCGGAGGCGGAGGCGGAGGTGGGGGCGGAGGCGGAGGCGGAGGCGGAGGCGGAGGTGGAGGCGGAGGCGGAGGCGGAGGCGGAGGCGGAGGCGGAGGAGAGGAGGAAGAGGAAGAGGAGTGTGAGGAGGAGAGAGAGGAGGAAGAGGAGGCCGTCGGTGGTGGTGGAGGAGGAGGAGGAGGAGGCTGCGCCTGCGGCGAGGGGCTCCTCTCTGAGCTGGACCGTGCTCGTCTCGCTGCTGCTGCTGCCGCTCCTCGCCGTGGTCGCCAAGCAGGGGCTCGGCCTCGCGCTGGGCGGGGCAGGCTCGAGGGCAGGAGGCCCCTCCTCGCGCGCACGCGGCGACGCTGACGCCGGGAGGGCCGCGTCCGACAAATCTCTGCCGTGCGTGCAGTGGGCGGAGGCGGGCGAGTGCAAGCGGAACCCGGACTACATGATAGTGCATTGCGCCGCCGCGTGCAGGGTCGCCAATCGGGCTCGGAGGGCAGGAGGCCCCTCCTCGCGCGCACGCGGCGACCGCGCTAGGGCCGCGTCCGACAAATCTCTGCCGTGCGTGCAGTGGGCGGAGGCGGGCGAGTGCAAGCGGAACCCGGACTAC